AACCAGCCATGCAGCCTCATGCAACACAATGCATCTCCATCTCCGGTTTTCTTGCGGCCCTTCCAGAGTAATTACGGGGCTACGCACGACCGAAGCGGTTCTGAGTCCGCCTCTTGATAGCTTTCGCACACTGCCCCTACTGTAGCGTTCCAGATGGTCTGGCACATCGCTGCAGAGTCTGGGAGCCTCAGGGATTCCACGCCGTTCCGGATCCGCAGCATCGATGAGGAAGGAGTGGCAAAGCCTGAGTCTGTCAGTGCACGCAAATCACTGATTGAAACCTGCACTTCCTGCATCTCGCTGAGAAGGCATGTTGGCAAAGCTCGCCGGCAATGGCACCGGAGAATGACTTCCGAGCGCTGCACAAGTGCAACTCGTAGCGCCAGGAAAGCACGATCCAGTCCTGCGAGAAACGCTGTACATCGGCAAGTCAATCATCCAAGCACCTGGACGCTGCCTGCGAACGGCAACACAACATGCTTTCAGGGTGCTGCTCCAACAAGAGACACTGCAAGCATCTTCCTGCCCACTGCACCAATGGCACTGAATTGTCAGAGATGTCCCACAGCAGACGGGTGGTGCCGAAACCGCACCTGAATGTTATGTACACTGCCCACCGATTCGGCCCGCGTTTCAGGCGGAATGGTGGGAGAACGCATGTGAGCGCCCAGTACTGGATCAGCTTCCGCATTTTCTGTGGCGGACCCTGCTTGGCTTAGCCAGGAAGGTCCCACACCTGCTTGAGAAGCCCCAAATACCCCCGAACAACTTGCGAATACGATGTTATGGGATGTTATAGGCATCATATGTCTCAAGAAGTCGATTCAATCGTCGGGCAATGTCGTACTGGTAGCTCCATGGCGCAGCCCCAGCATAGGTGGGGCCCGAAGCCGCAAACTGCCTCCTCCCATCACATTGGCAGGCATGCCTCAGCATCATGCGATCTGGACATGTTTAGTTCAGAGAGGGACGAATCTACAGTAATCCACAGTTCATCACAGTTCGACCTGTGAGCTCTGTCGTGCTCTGCCTTTCTGCATGTGCAGGAACAGAATGTGTTCCCACAGTGTTCGAGGACAATACAGTGTGCATCGACACATTGACAAATCCTGAGCGGCTATGTGACTGAGCTGCAGATCACGGCCGACTTGATTGTCTCTACCCGGACCCGACGGCTCGTACCCTCTCTTCAATCCGTGCGACAGTTAGCCGACAATCTGGATATCATCCGTAAGCTTCACCTTGCCGCGAAGCACGAGAAAAAACAGCTGTGGCTGCACTGCACAAACCTGTTCAACTTTACTTATTCCAGGCCAATTCAAGGCTTCTGCACTCCAGGCTACAAGCCAGACTTTGACATTGACAAACCACAATCAATGTGAAGCGCGATGCTGAAAAGAAGCATGGCAAAGGCAGAATGCAAAAAGGACTTGCTCTGAAAAACACCGCTGCATGCATTGAGGTTGAGAACATGTTCAGTCCTCGGTCATGACATGGTCGCCACAAGCCCTCCCTCAACCTGACCACAAAGGCGGGGTACCCCTTACAAAGCCCTATAAACCGAATCAGCTGTTGAAGAAACCCTGCCCGTCCTCAAGTAAGATCTAAACTTCGATAGGTCGCTGGGCCTGTAGGCTCGTCGCACGCCGATCTGTGAAGGTGAGCTGGAAGTGCTTATCCTGCATGGCTTCGATGAAACTTTTCGCTCCATTAACAGACATAAAAACGGATCAGTCGAACAAAAAGTGGATCACAGCGGATCAACACCTGCTGGAGCAACTCTGAAGTGAAGAACCCGGCGAGGCTGCAAACTGCAAATTATTTACAGCGGCCAGGGCACCACCCGAAACCCAGAATCTGCAGTCCCCAGACCCTGAAACTCCACAACTATACGACACATAAATGCAAGGCTGCAAGATTTCCGCACAAAAACTCTCCAGACTCTGGATGTTAGCTAGGCCCGTGGCGTAGACGCTTCCCAGGCGAGACACGCGCAGAGGCTTGTCGGTCCTGAGCCACTACGGGACTTGAAAGTCTACCCATATGTCGGCGCCCAAAACATCAAAAAATCTCAAACACATAAGGCTGCCACGACTGCCATCAACTTGCTCACAATTGCCAGCATGCTTTCGGAGCACAGCAGGACCATGCAGGACCAAATGCACTCCGAAGCATGCGGGTCAGTCAGGATTCGACTGACTGAGAGCAACCCTATAGCAACCCCAGCCGCAGAGGCAACTTGCCGTCAAGAGGCGCGCCCATGCCCGAGCCATACGCACATGGCTGAGTTGCCACAATTCGGACGCCATCCCTGGAAGGAATCGTGAACTGGTTCGGCAGCCGCTGCGAAATCCGTCAAGACCGTCAAGAGGCATAAGGAATCTTCTTATTGATTCAATCATGCAAGCAAGCATGGAACCATGTCTTAGAGTGTCTTTGTAACGCCCCGAGCCTGCTCAAGATGCGGATGATGCCATTATCTGAGTGGCTGGGATACTAAACAAGCGCAGCACACCGAGTAGCAAGACCACTGATCAGACTTGTCCAGCCCAGACTTGGCAGCAGCTCAATAAACGGCCCACTAAATTCCGCAAAAAATAAGTATTCTCAGCCCGATCAATCTGAAATGCAGACATGTGGCCGCGCGGATAGCGATAGCACTGCAGCAAGTACAGGTCTGAAAGGACCATGCCTCGCGAAGGACAGTCAGGCATCTGGCGGGATCAAGAATTCTTAGGGCCTGCTCATGCACTCTTAAGAGCTGAAGTCTTGAGTTATATTGGTTTATCAAGGTTTGTCTCTTGTGAGCTGTTGCGCCCGCCCTCTCGCGGTCTCGCAACACACCAGTCTTTCAAGAACATGTCAAGGAGGTCTCAAGAGCTGGGATGAAGTCAACCCTCACGTGGCCGGAGAGGCACGGCCGGTTCCAGCTGCGCCGCAAAGGGATGTGCAGATGTTCCACTCCTAAGGGCCAAGCTCTGAAGATACAGTAGCTCAAGAGAGGGAATGCTGCAACAAGAGGTGTTGCCAGCTCTTGGGAGTGCGGAAGCTGTCCAGCCCTGCACGACCAGGCTCCGCACGAGCCGTCTCTGCGCATGCTGCTCGGGAGTCTCCATGTCCTCTGCAACTGCCGCTTGCCTCGCGTGAAGTGTGAGCCACAGACAAACTGCAAAAATCTTCTTAAGAGGGCAGCAGAACAATGAGTGAGCAAAGAAACATTTCAATTAGCTTTGCGAAACGAGCGAAAATCCGAGGGATTTTTCGTGCGACTTTCAACAAGGGCTTATGGCGTCGTCGTTCCAGCGCTGAGTCGATTCATCTCGGAGCATGCAGCGGTGTGCAGCCGTGTGCTGTAAGACTGCGAGAACTCCATCTGCTTCCTCACCCTATCCCTCAAAATCCCTCAAAGGGAAACAAGCGACGCAAGCGGTTGGTTGGCTGAAAAGTTCAGGCCATGAGATCTCAGTGAAACTCTAACTGTACTCAAGTTGTAGCCGTCCAATCTAAGCTTCCAACGCTCCAGAGCAGAGGAGCTGCACCTACAGAGAGCCACAGACACACACACACACACACGCACATACCCTGGTCCCTCCCAAGGGTCTCGAAAAGAGCTGAGGCTCCCGGCCAAAACAAGAAGCTTTGAATTCATGCAGACCATCCAAAGCCGCGCTACATGTGCAGGCAGTGCGATCTGGGTTCTAGGTCTTGCATTCTTGCCGAGGCTTTAACCGCATGCTGTGCTGAAGGGTCACATTCACAGTCATGCGTTGTATGGCTGCTCCCGTAGGCAATGGAAATGCTTGAGGTGAATAACAAGGGACAGGGCCTTCACTTCACTCGAGCCCCGGGCCTCAATCGCAGCCACTGCAACATGACCTACATAGTTGGCCTTCTCGGATTTAGGAGAGGTCCCTCTTATCCTGCCGTACCTTCTCAGCTTCACTTGCCGTTAATTCAGTAGTAGCGCGACCAAACGAGTCTCACTCCGAGATAATTATGACTTGCTTGCGTCTTTCCATCCGAACACTCCTCATACTTGAAGTTGGCGTAGATGGGCGTGCCCTTGCCGTCTCCGTCATGTAAATCCTCCATGTCTGCTTGTGCGTTCAGGGCTTTCTCTGCCAGGTGCAAGTTGCTCCAGCCTTGACATCGCCGAGATTTATCTCTGCCGCCTGGGAACATGGGGGAAGTCTGTTGTGCGGTTCCCTCGAGCCCAGCTGAGCAGCCCAGGCCGAGGCCAAACCACTCAATGCAGGGTTGTTGTCGGCCTTTTTGGCGAAGGAAATCTGCCTCGAGGCGGCCCCAAGCAGCCCCTGCTGCTGCAATTCGAAACTGCATGCAGCATGCAGCTCTGAGGCGTCGTGCCCTTGCTTCAGGGCTTGCTTCAGTTTCTTCCAAGCCTGCAAACTAAACAGACTGCGGAGGGCAGAAAGCAGAAAGGGGGGCACTAGTGGAAGCTGACAGGTCTTGGAGAGAGTTTGCTGGGCTTGGCATCTGACCTTCGGGGCTACCGCATACTCACAAAAAGCGCCATACAGAGCCTCAACCTCTTGCTCAGGAACAAAAACCCTGAACTTAGCCCTACTTAAGTAGGTAGTTACTAGCTCCGGCCACAACAGCTTTTGTCTTGTTGTGTTGCACAGGGATTGCAAGCGTGCCTTTCTCTTGAATTCCTCCCCCCGCCCCCCAAGCCCGCGCTGTTTGAAGGATGAGGGTTTGTCCCCATCCAACACTCCGGAGAAAGCGGAAGCGGGGGGGGGGCTTGCTGCTTGCCCTCGACAGGGTTTCCGGATTTCTGCACTAGCAGCACAAGTCTCCCTCGCCCTCACAAATGCAGGAATTGTGATCTCATTATTTCAGAGCAGAGGATAGGCATGGTCGGACAGGTGGAAGGGAAAACATGGGAAATGGGCGCCCGAACAACTGGGCCTGCCCGACTTGCCCTTCTTCAGTCTGGGCAGGTGGGGCAAGCGAGGCAAATCAGGCAAGCGGGGGCATCTCGTATTTCCCCGAGGCAGGCGGGGGTCATGTTTCTTCCGAGGACCACCTGGGGCAAGGCATGATTAGAGGATTCATGTGGGTCCAGCTGGCGCTCGCAATGTTGCGTCAGCTTCAACTTGGGCCGATCGATCAATCTTCTCGGGATGTCAAACATTTCTGGTCTGCCGTGCATCCCCAAAACCGCAAAACGTGGAAATCCCGGCCTCCATCTGCGAGTGGAACCACTTGCCGGGCTTAAGGCCCGTCACCACGTGGCTGGCCTGTGAGCCACATCCCAGAGCCGCAAGCAAACCGGCTACTGGTAGCAACAAACAAGCCCAGACGCCACCAATAACAGCACGTGTCAGCGAGACGCATCTGTCTATTTGTACGTCTGCTGTTACGGTAACAATGGTAGAACACCTAAAACTATCCGAGCCTTTCGCTGCTGCTGCCAGGCCAGCAACTCCTGCTTTGCTGCTTCCTGGCCCATGCAACTCGATCGGGATTCAAGAGTGAAGGGCGAACCTCGGGCGAACCCTGGACACAGCTTTCACCTGCACAGACTGCGGACAGGATCAGCGCTCGGCTGGGGTCTCCACGCATCGCGAGTGGACGTCCCGGCCCGACGAATTAGACTATGTGGCTGTTGTAGCCCTCTGCACTGCGCGGCTCCAGCTGGAGGCCAGGCAAGGAAGATTACTGCGGTCACGGTCACGGTCTGCATCATTCAATCACTTTTGCTCTTCTCCTCCGGCTCTTCTTCTTCTTCCGCAGGCTTGAAGTAGCCCCGTACAGTTCGTGCCAGAAACCACGCAAGGAAACACCTTTCCAGGTCAAGGGATTTTCGGAACTCACGAGGCAGGGTTACATGTGAATCATGTGAAGGCATCTTCTCTTGGTGCTCCACGCGCCCACGCCGGCAGCCAGCCGCTGCAACGCCGGCTCGTCAGCGGACTTCATCTCGAAGGGCAGGTTTGCCGGCAGCCGCGCAACCCTCTTTGTCAAGACCTACTGACAGAGTCAAAAAAAAAACAAAACAGACCCTTGGCTGCTGATGAGATCAGATGAGCGTCAGCGGATAACTCACGGGCTCCGGGCCTGCCCGGTCTCCGAAAGCTCCAGCTTGACGTACTCTGCCAGGTCGCACTTCTCCAGCAGCACACCTACCTGGGAGGACTGGGAACTGGCCGTCGAAGCGGAACCACCGACCGATCCGACCGACGAAACCAAGCTGCGTAGAGAACAGCAGCCTTCCAGTTGCCCACGATGCTGAATCCAACGACCCCTGCGACCAATGAAATCCATACCGGGACCAGCAGCAAGCCTGCAGGGCTCTGACTCTGATGCAATGTGGGCTAGACTCGGCTGGACAGCGACATCCCAGGGCCTACCATGCCATCCAGCGCCCAAAGCGCCAATGCGATGCCAGCGAGGCCACCACGCTGCAGCAATGCGAAGTCCTGCTGATTGGGGTTGACGGGCGAGTTGGGAATCCGAGTCGAAAACGAGTTGCACCGGATCAGGAAACACGGACGTCCGAGCCGAAGTCAAGGCCCAAGTCAGAAAACGTAGTGTTCCCGACATAGAAGCAAGCATGGAGAAGCTCTCCGGCCCTTCACTGCAACATCTTCCGACGAAGAACGCGGCTCAGCTTACTTCGGGAAAGGTTCGCCTGTGTCCCCTTAGCCCTGGGAGCTGCGCATCAGTCCTTTCCACGGGCTTCGAGCACTGACTTCACGCTCGCCTTGTCCTGGCCTCAGACAGCGGAGAGGTTGGGAGAGGCACCTGACCAGGGCCTCAAGAGAAGGATCAGCACGGCCACATACTGCCAGGATGCCCCATTTCTTCAGTTCCTGCTCGAACACGGGGTTGTCCAGGGCTTGCATGAAGACCTGGAGTTTGGGGGCTCCGACCCGTCCAAGGCAATCCCCACAGAGACATCCGCAAATGATGCATCGGCTTTCTGCCTTGTAGTGCATGATGGAGAAGCCCGCTTGTAGGACGGCCTTCGTCGAGCCCAGTGCAGCGAATTGTGCGTACACAGCCCCGACACCATCCTACAGCAAGAGCACTGTACAGGAACATTGACAAAGGCAAGAGATCATAACAAGTACGCAGCCCAGGAACGGTCGCGATGAAGAGACCAACGAGCAACAGTAGCCGAAACGGAAGTCGCAAATTTATCGGTTGTCCAATCCTCGTCGGCATGGCGATGAGGGGGCCAGAAACCTCTCTCCAACTTGCGCTACGGCCGCAGCAGCCCCTGGAGTTGTAGTGTTTGGGCTTGCAGAGATGACATGATACTCCTGGTCTGTCGCGGAAGTTGATGCTGATGCTACTTAACTTAGGCACTTCATCGCCAAGAGCGATGTCAAGCAGAGCCGAAGGTGCTGGCAGAGAGGCAGCTCTCTGAGAGTGCTGACATGTTACTCTCGTACACACCGCCTTGAGCATACTGACTTTCAGCTCCGAGGAGCACGAGCCCACCGAGATGTCAGTCAGAAATCGCCACTGGTCTGTTCAGGCTGAAAACACTTGGCACACCCTGGCGACTTGGGCCGATCAAGACAAGCACAGTGATGGCTCGATGAGGACCGTGGTTCATCAGGAATACTTCATGCTACTTCGCTTCCTCAGCGAGCACACCAGGAACTTGCAAACTTCTACGTATAAAGCAGCAGGGTGCAAGACTCTTTACAACACGGTCTTTGCAACTGAGCAGTGTTGAAAAATGCCCATCGCCTGATGCTACATTCAAAAGAATTTCCAGATCCAGTGCAACATCATGCAGCTTTCCTCCGTGGGACATGTAGCAAAACCTCTGAGACATACCTGCCTGTACAAATATGGCAAGGTCACCACCAGGCATCACCCTGCGGTCTACCTGTGAGTTCCGCCGGTGAGCAGCAGCTCGCGCGATGGATGCGCAGCTAGTCTTTGCATCCGGGCGGAGTTGATGTCCTGATGATATCCCAGTGCTTGCGTGAGGTAGGGCGGGGAGTCTGCTTGCTGATATCATCGGTGAAGCAGCGAAAGTGCGAATCAACTGCTAATTCGCACATGGTAGTATAAAGGCAGTTCACCGGCGCAGTGGCACGTACAGCCGCGTACTGTAATCGGACTGTCAATCGGGGTCACTTTTGAAGGACCCTGATTGTGACAAGTGCTAACATCAGCAAGATCTGCGCGAGCGACAAGGGCAGAAGAAGCCACGAGCAGGCGGTGGCAATGCACCTGACTGTCAGAATGGGGACGAGTGCGCGTGCTCAGCATCAGCAAAGATGACAAGCAGAGTGATTGTGCCACAGACTCTACGTTCTTTGGCGGCACGGCTTTAACTGACGTCTACGCTTCGACGGCAGTGCCTAGCATCTTTAGTCCCACATTGACAGAGACCGCAGCTGAGCGCTCTGTGTACACCACACCGATTAATATCGGAAGCCACACCAATACCGGTACCAATTGTCAGAATCTTTAACAAACCCATTTGACTTACCAGGCAAGCTGCGAACTGTGTCTTGATGAGACTGGAATGGGCCAGGCTTGTTCACCGCTGTCCGCTGCCCCGCATCACCTCTCAAAACCAAACGGCTTGCAAAGCAAGACGATGGAAACGATCCGGGTGCCAAGCACAATCTGGGTTCGAAAGGGGCGGAGAGTCCGAGGCGAGCAGAAGAAGTGCAGCCTGCTAGGCCCTCTGACGGAAATCGATCCCATAAATCGCAAGAACCACCCGGAGGTTTTGCTCTCCGGAACCCAAGCACAGCCAAGCTGCAGGGCAGCATCTTTGGGACAGCGCCCGGTCCAAGCGGGTCACGGTTCACGTCCATGACATGCCGCAGGATCCCCGCAGAGTTGCTTCCTTGCAGCTCCTTCGACAGGAGCACAGCAGGCATCACAACACAGAATGTTGCAGAATTCCCGTATAGGGGTCAGGTGTGAGATGGCCTTCCGGCCGCACTTGCTCTGGATTCCGGATGGCTGTACAAGCAGCACTGTTGAAACAGTGATATTCAATTAAAGACCGACTTGCGTCACGAGAAGCTTTGACATGACAACCGGCCGGCTCCTCGACGGCATCAACTGCTTTTTTCGCAGATAGGAAGCGAACCTTCTTCTTTGTCGCTGCTGGCAGCAGAGGATATATGACGTTCCAAACGGGCTGCAGGCCCAACGGTGCGTCCACCATCATCACCTCGGCCGTCTGGCACCACTTGCAGATTGTAATACCACAAATACCACGGGCAATTCAAACCAGACTAGCCAAGCCAGGTTTGAGAGACACACAATTTTGGAACGCCAAAAGCTCCTTCGCGAAGATTTCGACAACAAGTGATTAGCAGCCACTCGTGAAGGCTCTTTTCAACAACCCTGTGCACCGTGTCAATGTGAAGGGACGACCCTAGATAGAACGCCGTGAAAGAAGCAGCTCTGCTCTCACCGAGATCATACCTGAGGCACCCACTAGTCGCAAGCGATCCCGATAGGGCTGCCGGAGAAGCTCGGCAATCCCAATCCTTAAGCCGGGAACGCTGAACCGCACTCGCAAATAACTTTGGAACATCGACGCTCAAGGCCATTCAGTGGCCATTAGTCCAAGTAGGAACTCCAAGCTGATGGGTGTCATAACATCCGGCCAAGACGGTGGACGTTGTTGGGTGTGACTCAGGGCGGGGAATGAGGCAGCACCACCGGGCTTTGCACAGCCTAGCGAGAAGGCCTAGAGTGCAGGCACAGAGTGCTTTGGACAGCTGAGCAACACGACGGCCTTGAAGGGCTTCATTCAGTGGGTCTTCGCGGTGCTGGCTAGTTGAGGTATTGGATGCAACACGACACGGCACATATTTCAGCTTCAACTTGCTACATCTGCACAGCCTCTAGGCTACTAATGAACTCTGACGGAAGCGACTGAACACCCAAATGCTTCCAAGGAGTCACGATTCTAGGGTCCATATTGTACCAAAGGCAGAAGCCATGACAGTCGATCACGGCATCAACCTGTGCAGCGGCGTCTCAGATTCCAGTGTCCAACGTGTCCAACAAGGTTTCCATACTGCGGAAGGAATCCCGCCCACATTACATAGATGCTGTTAAAACTCACAGGAATGAAGCAGCAACACTGTAAAGGCACTTCGACACTTTCTAGACCTCATTCAGAAGGTTTCCCTGGAGCAGCATTGATCGGGGATACTCGGACGAACAAACTGGAAGTGCGAGTGGCCTGCTGCACCCCTGCAGGCATTTTCTGCACGGCAGTCTCCAGAACACAAGCGACGTGATCCAAGGTGTCGGAGACGCTAAAGCTGCATGTCTGATGTCTGCAGCACCTGAAGGAGAGCTGGCATCGACTTGACTGCCGCAGAGCATCCTTGCCAAAACTACTTTGCTTCTATGCATGCGCAACGCTGCTGGCAAGTGTCTTTAATGCAGCGATCGACGGGCCCATCCCACCCGCCTTTGTGCGTGCAAGGCGCAAGTAAAGCAACGGATGCCCACCCTGGCCCTGGGCCAGAATACGAAGATCGCCTTGCCACTTCGGAACACGCCTTCCGGTAAGAATGTCCTGGCTAGAGCCGGAAAAGTGCTTATGACATCTCCGAAGGGAGTGCTTGGAGCTGATTGCCAAACAACAGGCTGACACTGAAAAGCACGAAAAGCACGCTCCTGGTACCGCTCGCGCCAAAACAGGGCCTGCGCCAAGATCTGTGCTGCCGCAGCCACATCTCCATGACGGCCACGAAGAAACATGGAAACCACCTATCAGAAAGCTCTCAAGGGAGTCATTCTGCATGACAATCCTGGGGTTGTCTTTCTTGCTCCTTCTTGTTACTGGCAATTAGCAAGTTAAGACGCTAGCCCCTGGGGCGCGGAACTACAGCAGGAATGAAGTATCTAAGTCCACTCCATGCCCCGTGATGGAGGAGGAAGTCCCCCCCCCCCCCCCCCCCCACCGCCCTACCCCGGCAGTTCTCCGCAACTGCTCAACAATCATGAACGGTTCCATCTGTACTGCTTGAGCCTGCCCACTTAGGTTCGCAACTGTTTCCCCTCTTCTGTATCTTTTGTTCATGGCATTGGTAGCGGTAAGGGTCTCCGGGCACGGAGGGCCCCCCGCTTGTTTCGGGCCTTGGCGGGGAGGTCACAACAGTCGGTGGGCTTCAAGTGCAAGACAGGATGCTTATGAACCACGACGGCAGCTGATCCCCCGGAAACATGCATGAATCATGAAGTGCATTCCATTCCCCCGTTCGAAGCACCAGCGATATCAAAGCAAAGGACTACCGGGGCTCACGAGGACCTTTCATCGGTGGGAATGTATTTCCCCGACCTCTGTACCGAAAAACATGTCTGGTTGGTCCCAGGCACCAAGTCGACAACAAATTCCAACTCTTTCCATCTCTATCGCTCTTTCTCTCTTTCTTTTTCTGCTCTGCAGGATGGACCGTACGTGTCTCGATCATGCTCCGTCTTGTGTGCCCGCCATGTCGCGTGGCACGACTTCTACGCGATTGATTCTTCATGCCACGTCAGTGCACACATGCTTCTCGACTGCAAGGTAGCAGTCGTTGCACAGTGGTCCTGACGTCCTGACAATGGCAGCGGGCAGCGCACCGTTTATGGTGGCGAAGGGTGGTGTGATGTGGTCTCTATGCAGGCATACTGTGGTGTGAATGCAGCGCGACCGCAAGCCATCAATGGGTGCAAGCACAAACAGTTTGCCGAAGTTTCCCGCAGCAGCGTGCGCTGTCTTTAGCTCCTGCGGTAGTTAGCAATGGCGCAACGCCCTCAGGACATGTGCGGCAAGCACAGCGCATACGGTGGTGTGGTATTGCTGATATGGTCTCTATGCATGCACACTGTGCTGGCCACGGCACGACTGCAAGCCAGCAATGGGTGCAAGCAGTGCAAGCAAAAACAATTTGGCCAAAGTTATTCAGCTCCTGCCGCAGTTAGCAATGGGCACAGCAGTGCATGCTGAAATCAATCTTTATGCATGCATACTGTACTGGGCATGCGGTACGACCGCAAGCCAGCAATGGGTGCAAGCACAAACAATCTGGCCAAAGTTTCCCGCGGCAGCGTGCACTGCCCTCAGCTCCTGCCGTAGTTAGCAATGGCACAATGCCCTCAAGACATGCGCGGACAACAAGGCGCACATGATGGGGCAGCGTGCACTGGAATTAGCTGCTGCCGTAGTTAGCAATGGCGCAATGCCCTCAAGACATGCGCGGCATGTATGGTCGTGTGGTATGGTCTGTATGCGTGCATATTGCTGCGAATGCTGCGCGACCGCAAGCCAGCAATGGGTG